AATTAGAATTGGAAAATACTCCAAGGAAAGCTGCAGCAGTGCAGGTCAGGAGGAATGCTGCCCACGAGTCTCAGGCAGGGAATTTCTGGTGTGGTTCTGACCCTGCTGAAAGGGCTCCTCTGCTGCCATTGCTGTGAGCAGAACCCGCTGCCAGCATTATCACAGTGCAAGGGGAGGGCCCAGCCCTGCTGCTGTCCATGCTTTGTTTGTGGAAAACAATTGACAGCGATATGAGCATTCACCTGGCCCTGCACCCCGCCCAGATGGCAGCTGATGGCTGTGTCACAGCCCCCCGAGTGGCACTGAGCCCCTGTGGCACAGCACCCATGGATCGCTGCCAGGACACTCTCAGAAGAGGGGGCTGTGTGATTACTGAGCATTCCTGCACTGCACTGTCCCCTTGCAGCAACAGCAAAAACATTCCAGTGACATTTATCTCCTCATTCAAARGCTGCTTATGTCATTTCCCCCTCTTTTCTATCTCGGTGTGGATCAGGACTCGCTCCCTTTCCTTGAAATGAAAGTCTGGCCCTGGATTTGGAGAGCATTGCTGTTATTGACACAGAAATTGCTCCTCACTCTCAGGGTATGTGGTTATTCCTCAGTAGGAGTGATGCCTTAGGATTTTTAGTTTCTATATTTCCATGTATCTGTATTCTTGTCCTTCTCCAGTGCACAGTACTAAAGCTGCTGTTCTCTCATCTTTAAACAAAACAATTCCTCTCTGAGCCTGAAATCCAAGGACACTTCACTGCCCCAGAGCCCCAAAATATGGAAACAACAGAGAATTGGGGGGAGCTTGGGGTGGGTGACATCATCACCTGAAGCTGTCATTGGGGAATTGGGGCCCGATGTGTTCATGGGACAGAATTTATAAAAGGTGAAGATCTCGTGACTCGGGGTCCATTTTGGGTGCAGCCTCAGGAGGAGGCTTTGCCTGCCCTCAATGTACCTGTAGGCCTGGACTAAATTTGTCTGCTTTTATTCTCCTTGCTTTGTCAGGCCTCTGTTTCAGGTGAGCCTTGTTTTAGGCATCAGGAGCTGCACTGCTGCAGGCTCCACATTTCAGACATGATGCAAAACTGATATTCCAACCACTTGAAGCCCAGGAGAATTTTTCCATCAGCTCCACTAATGCCTGTGTTCAAATTCCAGCCCCAGTAATYGCAGGCTGCCTCTGGTTCTCAGCAGAGACATTAATCACACCTCCAGCTCCAAGGAGGTTTATTTCAGTGGTGGGCAGGTAACCGCTGCACAAAGGGGCTACAAAGCATGTTTTGGTCTCCTTCTCTTGTCTCAGAGTCTGCTGAAACTCCCAGCAATTTAATCTGTTTGGGTGTGATACCAACATATCAGCCACGATGGATGGAGATAAAGTGCCAGGTTATTTGTGCAGAGTTAAGGGGAAAATTCCCTAAAAAACTGCTTTTCAGTTTGAAGSCTCAGGGTGCACTTGAAAGGAAAGCAAAGGATGCCCAGACCTGACAAAGTTGTCCTGCAATGGGACGGGAAGCACAAGAGAAAGAGCAGTTTGGAGAAGCTTCTAGAGCTAGATTTGCCCTTTTTGAGCTTCACCCATGTGAATCTCAGTGAAATGAGTCTCTGCYGGGCTGAGTGCTTCACACACAGCACATCAGGGCACTGCTGCAGGGAAGAGCCTGGCCAGGATGGCAGAATCCCTGTTTGGGTGTTGTGTGCCAGTCCTGCTGCAGCTGGGCAAACCCTCCGTGCCTGC